TTTTGAATATTATTTTTTTATTTATTTTATTTTTTAATATGTTTAAAGATTTTTTAAATTTCTAAAGCTTAAAACTAAGGCAAAAATATTTATTAAAACTAGTAAGTTCTCTGAGCACTTCCTTATAATTATTGTCTTTTCTTATTTCCCCTTAAATTATGTTATTTTTTTAAGACCAAAGTTAAGCCCACAAGGATTTTTAATTTACTTAAGTTAAAATCTGAGACAAAATATTTTTTCAATGAGTATTTTATTCCCCCTATGAGAATTTCATTTCTTCCCTTAACGTTTACATTTAACATTCTGAAACGCAGTGTGTATGACCTAGCTTTATCAACTATTCCAGTTTACTTTCTCTTCATAAAAGGGTATTCTGACATTCCCCGGTCGGTGGATTCCCCGCGTAAGTTGTCTGCACGAAAGCGAAAGATGAAATCATGCGGTCTGCCAAGTGCCTCCAAAGGTGGAGCAGGGATTTGGGGCAGGGATAGGTGATTGGGTGGTTGGGGTGGCTTGGTTGGTGCCTGAGTGGTTGAGTGGTGCAGCAGCATGTGTGCCGCATGGCGCATTGCCGTATCCACGGCTACGACGACTGTTTGTTTGCCTCTTTGTTTACGTTTTGTTCATCCCATTTTATTCCGCTATTTTTATTATTTTTGAGACTTTGGCGCTCTGGATGGCTTATTATTTTGCGCTTATTTCTAATTTTTTCCGCATCATCTTGGGCTTTATTCATCTGCTGCCGAGATTTATACCCAATATACAAAGTGTGAGTGCTCCTGAGGGCTGCAAGTTAATGTGGCGCATTATGTAGCCACATAGTTTCAGTTTCGCTGGGATTATGCAAAGTTATGCCGGCCCCCGGCCGCAAAACTCCCCCCGTCAATCTGGCCAATAAACTGCAGAACAGCCAACGCACATATAAAACAATTTGCCTACAAAAGAACCATGAAGAGCTGTTGCCTCATTTTCGTGGGCCGGCAATTTAAAATTGTTTATAAAACACAGGACGACGGCACACACATGAGAGCATAAAACTTGCATGGAAAGATGGCTTGGATGCGATGTGGCTCCTGTTGCTGGAGCGCTGGCCACAATGGCTCCCAGAGGTCGGCATTAAATTCTGCTGCTGCTGGCCTATATAAGCCGGGACCGGGGTCTGGGCCCTAACTACACCATGGGGACAGCAATTGATGATAGTCTAAGACCCAAGATACACCCAGAAAAAAAAAATGACCTAAAATGTCAAAAAATGGCCTAGAATTTAGGTAAAATTGGCCTTAAACTGGAGCTAAGTCCTTGAATGGCCTAAAATTTAGGATTGTATGACCTAAAATATTAGGCCATTAATGGCCTAAAATGGGGTAATTTTTGGCCAAGATTTTAGGTAATTGGCTTCCTTAAAAAAAAATTTTAGGCTTTATTTGGCCTAAAAATTTGTACTGAAAAATGGTTTCATATTATAAAGTAAATACAGAGAAATTTATAGCTAACTCGAGGTCAATGTCGGCTTAGTCTTCAAGAAGTCGTCATTCTTCCAACACACAAAAACGAGCGAAGAGGCTTCACTGTTCAGCAGTGAAATCGATGTTTTATTCAACGATCTAAGTGGGTTACCATGCAAGCCGCGCTATAACTGGTTGGGAATTATAGCGTCGCTAGAACGGTATCAGAGTTCCGTGCAAATTTATTTAGGTAAAATGCATTAATTTTAAGGCCCACGATGACCTAAAATATTAGGCTGTACGGGACCTAAACCGTAGGGCAAATATACCAAAAATTTAAATTTTTAGGCAGTACATGACCTAAAAAGGAACTTTTAGTCCATTTAAAATGTTTTAGGCTATGCATGACCTAAAATGTTGTCCATCATTTTTCTGGGTGTATGTAGCTGAAGCTATAGACGAAAAACTGAGGCTGAGCCGTAAGCCTAAGCGAATGCTCCGGGATATAAAAGGACTTAGTCGCATGTTAGCGCCACGCCTACGCAAATCCATAGCTGGAGCAGCAGCATCAGCAGCAGCAGAATCTGAGCCAGGACCAACCACCCCCGCAATGCACTGCATCCAGGCCATATAGCCGGGGGGTGAGATGATGCTCCCTTCGCTGATGCCTCCCCGAAGCCACATCCCCCATCCTTGGCCATTATGAAGTCATAAACGCACATGCAGCCAGGCCAAAAATTGGAAGAGCCCATTGGGGATGGGCCCGAGGGCAGCTCCATCTTCATCTGGGCCCGACTTTTCGGCCGTTTCTGTTTTTTTAGCACATGTAAAAATGCTTGTTATCAAGAATGAGAAAGAAAAACACCAGTACATGGGGGGGGTTCGAAAAAAATTAAACAACAAAATGTGGACAATTTTCGGGCACAGGCCCCGAGCTTAAACTGTTATTACCAGCGAGGAGTGGGCGGCTCAGTGGGTCCGTCTGCTGTTTATGAGTTGTAAAGCCCCAGTCAGACAATAGCCGAATAGCCGGGGCAACAGCAACACATGAGCGCTAAGCCGGAGGACATATTACGGGCCTGGTCTAGTTTGCTATTTTAAACAGCAGGACGAATCGAGGGAAACACCCCGACTTACTGCCAATGGTCGGTGCTGGCTGGCTTCTTATGCCTGGCTGCATTTTATATTTATCCTGTGCCAGAATTTGTGGCTTTAGCCAAGGAGATGTGGGAGCTAAGTGTCCCCCAGGTGAGTTATGTAATTTCGATTGCGCACTTTTGCGTAGGCTCTGCAAATGGACCGTCCCTGTGGGGGAAATTCAATTTCTAGGAAGAGAAACTTAAATCGAAATAAAATATATTTTTAGAAGTCAGATTTCAGTGCAGTATATAGTGAAATATTATTAATGAGAAACTTAAGGTAAACTAAATGTTGATTTGGCCAAATTTAACTAAATTAAATCAGTTTAATTTTCTCCCACAACTTATTTTTTTCATGCCAGAATTGTAATGTTATTTAAGTCAAGATGTTATAGTTAAAATATATTATCAAATATAGTAGCAAAATTTTATTACTCACTTCAGTTATATTATTGACTCATTAAAAATAAGCAACTTAAGTTAAACCGAATTAAATTAAATTTAATATTTAAAGCCGCTTTGGCCTACAAAATATTTTTATAAATTTATTTTAATAATTATTTGTTCATTATATTTGTTCTTCCATTTTTCTTGCCAGAACTTAAATATTCTTTAAATTAAGCAAGCAAATTTTGCTTACAATTTCAAATACTTATTCTACTGTAAGATGAGCTTCGATTGTTTGCAATAATGCCCTAGGGTGTTAAACTAATTGAATCGCTTCCCTGCCCACCGAGCACTTTTTGATGAGCCTTCGATCTCAAATTTCCTCGTCCTGGCAATATCACAATGGCCACGCGTCAATTACACTGAAGTAGATGTAAAATGCATTTTAAAAGCTTGTCCAATATTATTTTACCATGCGCACTGGATTTCAACGGCAGGCAATCGCGTTAGCCGTTCGAAGCCCGGACTTGGGCGCGTGTTCCTTCCGGTTTGGCAGCACGTGCCTCAGGGAGAATTGGATAACTTGGCCGACATTCCGTCCGGGGGCTTAAAGGGCAACTTTAAGGCGGGCTTTTGGCGAACTACTTGCTCGGGCGGTGGAAAAAGGAAAAACGGTTTTGGAACGAGCGTTCCCAAAACATTTTTGGCATACTTCACACAATCTACTGATGAAGTCAACTGGAAAACTCGCATAGCTTTGATGTTTCGACAGCAATTGCAATGTGTACACACGGATACACGAATACACGGATACACACCCACACAAATACTCAAAGGATGCCATTTGTTCGAATGTCCTTTGGCGCATTTCAAAGCCCGCAACTTCAAAGCACAAAAATGACCTTTGTGTGCCGCAGAAGCTGTGGCCAACTTTGGCCAAGCGAAAGGGGCCACTAAATATTAATTTACCAAATTAGTTTGTTCTTCTAATTACCACTATGAGATGGCAACCTAAAGCGGACTCGCGCTAAGAGCTAGTAAATTTTTTGCAATTACTCTAAAAGGATTTCAATTAGCGTTTGAAATCGCATTAAACTAAATGAAAATGTGCGCGGCAAACAAAAATAATATGAAATATATTATAATCATAATGGGAAATATAAAAACCATTGCCCAGTGTTTGTGCATAAAAGCTAATTACCGTAATGCCCTACAAATGCAATTACAAAATATCCGAATTATGTAACAGTTATTGGGGATAGTTAACATTTCAAGCGAAACCCTTTCTTTCCAATTAAAATATGCACTAGGGTGAGCGTGTAAATTAATCAAGGTATTTTCATCACAAATTGCTATATATATATATGGACAAAGTGGCAAATTATTTAGTTTACCCATTTGTTAATAGACCTCGCGCATTCAAAACAAATGCATGCCGATAATATTCAGCCAAAAATGAACAACAAATTATGCATAATTAAACAGTTATCAGGAGTTATTATTTAACAAATAAAGGGATTTGGGGTCAGCCAGACATTCGGCTTACCTATTAAAGAAATTAAAAATAATAAAGCCATTTTTCTAGTTTTATTTAATCTAACAGTCCTTAGAAACTTGCTTTTGTGAACTCAGATAAAGACTGGCAGCGTTTTATTTTTGTGTCAAAGAAAATATTTCATTTATTTATTTAAACTCGAATTACAATAATATTTTACATTAAATCGAAAATGCTTTACAAATGTATTTGCTAAGTTTTCCCGTTGTACAACACAAGCCCACGACGAAGTGACTCCCTTTAAATAATTCTTAGAACTTATTTCTTAATATTCAGAGAAGTTTTTCCACAACTAAGCGACTTTCTAAGCATACAACTTTTACGACCTGCAAAGTCGTAATTAGCCCGACCCCTAGGCTGCCAACCTTGGCAGTGGCACGGACTTGCGGAGTTAGTCAGTCAGCGTGACAGATGCGTCTCTGCTTTTAGTGATAATCAATATGCGGGACACCAAGAATTGACAAATTCAAAGCGTCACGCAAAGTGCAGGCAGAACTATAAAAGCTGATGTATTTTCAGCGAGCGACTAGTGAATGAATAAGCGAAGCAAAATGAGGGCTACACTGGCATTGACTCTGCTTCTCAGCTGCCTCACAGGGATTCTGTCGGTGAGTTACGTTATATATAATTTAAAAAATATTAAAAGGCATCCAAATCTTGCCAAACAGCAACACCAATTAGATACCGCTGTGTCCAAGGAGCTGGTAGAAGGTTGCATGAAGGAGAATGGAGTAACTGCCCAGGATCTGGCCGATTTGCATTCGGGCAAGGTGAAAGCTGAGGATGCAAAGGACAACGTCAAGTGCTCAACCCAGTGCATTCTGGTCAAGAGCGGTTACATGGACTCAACGGGGAAACTGCTGACCGACAAGGTCAAGGCTCACTATGCCAACACGTCTTTGAAGGATGCGATCGAAAAGGATTTGGACAGGTGCAGCAAGGTCAAGGGGGCCAACGCCTGCGACACGGCATTCCAGATATTGGGCTGCTTCCAAGGAGCCAATTAAGGGCCTCAAAGATCCCATTCATCGGGTTTGAAGTCGAGCGTAACACTTCCAAAAGCAATAAAGGCAAGCAGCAGCATATACTTACATATAGAGCAAAAACTTTAATTTAACATTAATTTTTTCGTGCTTTTCATTTAGCAAACCAGAGAAATGATAACTAGAAAGCAAGTAAAAGTATTTAACATTTTGAGGATATACCTAAAAATTGTTTATTTAAAGTTTGTGTTTTCTGGTTTCTATTTTTATTTATTTTAAAAGTGCTTAACCATCTCCTTCTTTTTGACCCTGTTAGCCTTTTCGGTGGCTAATTTGTGAAATATTCCCGAAGCATCTGGGAAATGCCAGCAATTTAATTATTTCGAACCGCTTTGGCAAAAGGCAAACAGAGCACTCATAAAATCATAGCCAGCGGCAACAATTTCAATCGAATTGTCAGGGTCGGGACACTCTTTGCGGAGAATACCCCGACTCTTCAACCCCATGTTGTTGTTATCGAAGACAAACTAAGTTTTCATATATAAATATACGCTGCCGGCTGAATTCTCAGCGATTTTTGGGGGCGGCCAGGCTACATATTGTGTTCCGAGGAATTTTTAATTTCTTCATTGTGAAAATATTTATTGAAACCGAACATCGCCGAAGGCACCGAAAAGTTGACGGAGCACTCGCACCAGGAGAAAAGGGACAAAAGAAAAACAAGTGCCCGAAAATTTCGCAACGCGAGATGTTCGATGGTATCGGAAAATCTCCAGATTGGAAGCTAAAGGAGAAGGGAGCCTTTGTGAGTGTCTTTAACTGAGAGCTCAGTTGCAGCTTAAAGGAAAGTTCAGGGGCAGCGGGACTGGGGCTCCTGGACAGCTCCGGTAATAGCTACTGAAACCTGGGCAAACAAATTGAATGAAATCAACTCGTTAAAAAGTAAATAACTCTGATGAATGGCTGAAATGCACAAAGAGCTGGCCGAGCGAGCTTCCAGGTGAGGACGAAAGGTCGGCATCTCCTGCGCCTGCCAGTCAATTGAAAATGAAATACAAATAAAAATGCAAACAACCGGGCAACGCATCGGCCACATACAAATGCTGGCTAAGCAGCAGGCTTTGGGATATGCCGCTGTCTGGACTGTCGGGAATGGCCGAGGAAATTAGTAGAGCCGGGCACAAAAGGAGCTGCAAATGTTGGAAATAGCAGAAGGAAATGGGCCGTAAGCCGCCGCAAGTCCAGAAGCCAACAAGCCAGGATATCGGGGAGTTGCAGACGAGTCAGCTGCAGGGGAAAAGGAACCAGAAGCCAGGAGCCAGTAGCTGGAGCTCGATGTTTTCCTTTCACATTCATCGATGAACTTTCAATACCAGAACTTTAGCTCTCGGATTTTTTATGTCCCACGGGCTTCCTCCGTCTTTTATGCACCCTTTTTTCAAGGATATGACATTGAATTGCACTGGTTGCCAGCTGAAAGTGCAGGGTTGCAAAAGTTTGCACCATGGAATGGTTTTGGCCTGGACCTGAAAAAGTTGTTGCAAAAAAAGTAACTTTGCGAGATGTAAGAGCTCTTGAAACCAGTAGAAAACTTAACTGGATGAGAAGAGATTTGGAAAATAAGCCCAGACTCTTTTCTTCACATCAAATATTTATAATTGACATATTACTTGGCTCCAAAGTCCTGATGAGGATATCCAAAAAAAAAAAGATTTTAAGGATTAATGTCAAGAGCTTTTACAAAAACATAAAACATAACATTTTAAAAGAATAAGATTTGGAAAGACTCATGTCAATTGCTTTTACACTGCGCGAAATATCTTCAATTTTATGAGTTATATCCGATAATTTCTATGGGAGCTATACGATATAGATCTGTGTACAGTGTACACATGTTTAAGGATGACTGTGAAAGTTTTAAGTCGCTAAGTCGCTTAAGAAAACGGTATTGAAACAGACGGACAGGGCTTTATCGCCTCCCCTATCGATCCTGATCAAGAATATAGTATAATATCCACTAAATAACGCAAGTGAGTCATTTTCATTATTCGGACACAATACGGTATACATTTTTAAAAGTTCTAATTGCTTTGCAAAAAAAAGGAATGATTAAAGGAAGGTGTCCTTTTTCTCAAGTTCTGACTACAGCGTGTATTTCCCAGTTGCTAGTTGCGACATTCGCTCCCTACCCCAATATAATGACTTAATTTGCCACGTAATCACTGGTGGAATATTGTGAAACCGGCATAGAAGGAAGCTATAAAATGGCCAGGCACCTGACTGAACTAAAGCAGTAAGCCAAAGGCAGCAGGAAGAAAACATGAAGCGCAGTGATATCCTGAAGATCGAATACTTTCGTGACCAGTTTCGCGCCTGGCGACTAAGTGGCTCTTTTGAACTGAGCAAGGGAAAGTACTGGAGCTGGACTATGTTTAAGTGCATACTTGTATATTTGCTGACGCCTATGATATTAGGGGCTATGTTTCGATCCGACAAACCCTTGGAGAATAACTACAACTTTATCGTGTCACTCACTTTGCTGTCAAATCTACTGAAGTTCCCGATATACGTCACCCAACTACCAAAACTGGTCGAGATTCAGAAGCTAATTAGCCAACTAGACGCCCGGGTTTCCGGGAAGGATCAGGAACTCCGGCACGGAAAAATCTCCAAGCACATGCAAAGGATGTCCAAGCTGTTTCTGATCATATACGTTATTATTTTTATCAACGCGGCGGTTCCTTTTGTGTTTGAAAAAGAGCGCAACCTGCCTGTGCCTATGTGGTTTCCCTTAGACTGGAAAAATTCATCGCTAGCCTATATGGGAGCTTTACATTTTCAGGAGATCAGCATGTTTTTTCAAATCCTACATACTTATGCAGCGGACTCCTTTTCTCCCTTGGCCTTGATCCTGGTTTCCGAACAATGTCAGTTGCTTATCCTAAGGATCTCTCAAATAGGATATGGTTCTAGGACTCTGAAAGAAAATGAACAGGACCTTGTCGAATGCATCAGGGATCAAAATACGCTCTACAGGTAACTCCACTATCAGTTTTTAAATACCTTAATACATTAAGTTCCTTCTTAGGTTACTTGAATTGATAGGAACCATGATTTCTTATCCCTTGATGGTGCAGTTCTCAACTGTTGGCGTTAGTATCGCAGCCAACTTGTTTGGCTTGATATACTATGTGGAGACCACTTCGAATCGGGTGTACTACTTCTGTTATCTGTTGGGTCTTACTATGCAGATATATCCTAGCTGTTATTACGGAAGCACATTGGAGAACAGCTTTGCAGAGCTGCATTACGCAGTCTTTTGCAGCAACTGGGTGGGTCAAAGCGCTACCTACCGGGGGCACATGCTAATCATGGAGGAACGGACCAAACGACAGCAGCGCCTTCTCGCCGGCAAACTGGTGCCAATTCACTTAAGAACTTTTGTGGCTTGTTTGCAGGGAGCATTCTCATTTTTTACTCTGATGGTCAACAGAAGTGATCCTAACCGGGAGCATTTAAAGCTTCGACAACTCAAATAGTAGTGCAGCAGGCAGAAATATAACTTTTCATACCCTTGCAGAGAATATAATGATTTCAGTCAGATGTTTGCAACGTAGTGAAGGAGACGTTTCCGACCACATAAAGTATATATATTCTTGATCAGCATGAATAGCCGAGTCTATCTAGCCATGTCCGTCTGTCCTTCTGTCCGTCTGTCCGTTTCTATGCGAACTAGTCCCTCAGTTTTAAAGCTATCGCGATGAAACTTTCCCAAAAATCTTCTTTCTATTGCAGGTGGTACATATGTCGGAACGAGCCGGATCGGACCACTATATGGCTCCCATAGGAATTATCAAAAAAATAATAGAAAATCCATTGTAACTTTGTAGAAAGTAGGCGTTTTCTTTTTTGACAATGTAAAAACAACATTTTAACTAGGCATATCTGCAAGGGTATATAAACTTCGGCTGGCCGAAGTTAACTTCCTTTCTTGTTTTACATTATGTTATTGAAATGTTAGTTATCACTACACTTCTTACCCCATGTTGAAACACACAAATTACCCAGTGCCCCGAAGCACCGACAGCAAGATTATTTCCTAGAAGTGCGGCCAGAAGAACAGCGAGGAAGTTCTGAGGCCATAATGAGAAATGTGGGAATGCATTTCAAGTGCAGCGGAGTACCTAGTTCTAGGGCGAATGTTAGTCATTAGTTGATCCATGAACACATAATTTGGCTACAATTACTTCATTATAAAGCACAAAAAGAAACAAAAAAATAAAATTTTCAAAACATATTTTTTTGTGGAGAAAAGTCTTAATACATTTTCAAGGCTCGTATTTTTCGTCCGTTTGTTAAATTTAAATTTGACTCGAAAGCGTATGGGAGTAAAGATATTAAAGCCAGCTTTAAATTTAATTTGCCGACGAGAAAACACTTTATCAAAGCACTTTATCTTTTGCAGGAGCGAAGAGCCAATCGTGATTTTAAAAAGATAGTATTTTTTACGATATTGCTTGAATTGTCGGTCCAACTTTTTATGTCTTTTCGTCGTCCATATAAATAGAAACAAGATACAGGTTTTAAAGATATTTGTTACCAAGAAATCAGTATTATTGAAATTGCACATGATTTAACCTTATAAATAGAATGTAAGCTGTTAATACAATTTTTAAAAAGGACCTTAACCACAACCACTTATAATTTTGAAAGGTTTTTAATTGCGTCATTCAACAAAAATAATTTTAAGAGAGTATGTCTTTTTTCCCAAGAATTACATTTGACCTTCTATTAAAAGATAAATATTAAATTTACCAATAAAAATCCCCTGCCTAAGGGCCGGTTTCTCGAGTCCCTGTCAAAGTCCCTGATAGCTATCTGTTCTAAAAACTTAAATACCAGATAAACTGTTCGTAAAAGCAAATCCGCTTTCTCGACTGCTTTAATTTATCTGAACGAGAAACAATTACAGAGTGCTGTTAACGCACAGAATTGTGCTGTGAAGCGCAAAAAATGGCATGCTGCGATTATTTCATCAGCTGTTTGGGTATAATTTAAAGGAAAAGTCAGCTGTGATTTCGTTTCCTTTTCATAGTTGGCTTTGGGAAATCAGCTGTCATTCTATCGAGTCGAAAACGCTTAACAGGGACTCCGAGTCCCTGTCAAAGTTAGCTCTCACATTTATGCTCGAGAAAGCCAAAATGCCTTAGCAGGGACTTTATCTGTTCGAGAAATGTTAGCCGGCACTCGAGAAACCGGCCCTAAGAATCTCTAACTTTTAGACTCCTAAGACCTTCAAAGAAAGTTAACAAGACCTTGTAAACTATATCAAGGACCAAAGGACCCGTAAGGTAATCCCAATACAAGTTTTTGTATCCTTTTTAAGTTTTTAATTTTTCTTATCTTCCTGAAGTTCATGCAAAATACTTCTTAACGAGGTAAAAATGTCTCGCACCTTCAACAAACCAAAACATTTCGTCATAATAAAGACACTAATTTATATATTTATTAAATTAAGTCTAGAGGAACCCTTATCAGAATTTGCTACGGGCTACCTTAAACCGGCCTTGTTCACACCAAAAGTCATGAGCTTAATAACATTCCAAAAGGGTTTCAGTAAGCACGATACTTGGGTGAGTCGTTTCCCAGGCAACATGCTAGCTTTCTTGCCGCTGCTGTTGACAATTTCCAGGGCACTGCTTCACATTCAGATTTCCCATCGACTTCACCTTCCGACTACAGTTTATTAAAAGCTAAACAGCCAAGTTGCTGATGCCGCTGCCAATGGCAAAAGCAGGAAATATGAATAAACCGTGATAGACTAAGGGAAATACAGAAATCCCCCGAAAAGCCCAACACCACTCTACTCCAATCCAATCCCAGTTCGGCGTCAGCCAAGTCAAAACCCATTCAACAACAGTTTCGCATAATTGTAAATTCAAGTGGAAATGAATGAATTTACGCTGAACTCGACAGAAAATACCAGCAAACGAATGTTGCTATTGCCATTGCTTTTGCTGTGCTGTTGCTTTTGCCGTTCTTCCCGAGCAGGTACCACATACACATAAAGAAACAATTCTCAAAAGGTTTGTTTTAATTGGATCTTACAAATGAATAATTTAGATGAAAATATTCCAACACATTACAGTACTTAATTGATATAATCACGTAATTCGTTTGTACAAAAAGAATATTTTTATACCCGTTACTCGTAGAGTAAAAGGGTATATTAGATTCGTGCAAAAGTATGTAACAGGTAGAAGGAAGCGTTTCCTACCCTATAAACTATATATATTCTTGATCAGGATCACTAGCCGAGTCGATCTAGCCATGTCTGTCTGTCCGTCTGTCTGTCTGTATGAACGCTGAGATCTCGGAAACTACAAAAGCTAGAAGGTTGAGATTTTCCACGCATATTCTTGGGCTTCCTACGCAGCGCAAGTTTATTTTAGCCGAGTGCCACGCCCCCTCTAACGCCCACAATCGCCCACTAACGATTTTAAAATGTGTCTAGCGCCCACACCTTTTAAGATTAGAAGACATTTTTCAAATCGGACCATTCATTAAAAAGTTATACGCAATCAAAATTTCTATATCTATCTCCCTCGCACTCCCTTTAGCTGAGTTACGATTCTTAGTCGGGACACCAACCCGAGCACAGCGTTCGCACTCCCTTTAGCTGAGTGACGGGTATTAGATAGTCGGGACACGAACCCGACTATAGCGTTCTCTCTTGTTTTAATCTACTTCCATTCGGTTTTGGTTAAGATTTCAACATTGTAGCTAAAGTCAGTAATATCTGAGACAAATACCCAATATAACCTGTAATTTACTCAGCCTAAGAAAAACATTACTAGTTCATATATGAGAATAATCTTAACGATTACCTAAAAAGATGGAACCTAAAAGATGGAACGCATACCTTATAGCAAAATAATTTTATCAACTTGAAATATTATTATAAAATAATAATTTCAATGATTGTAAGATAAAAAAAACGTATGGAGTGTGCTTGTGAAAAAGTTCCTCAAAAATTCTTTGGGTGTAACAGGTAACTGTGAAGAAGGTAACGGATGCTGATGGCGATGGCTAACGGTAACGTTTCCCAATGGCGCGCAAACAATATGGCGTCACCGTCCAGGTCGAGGATTCAAAAAGGGAATGGATGGTGGGCGCTGAAATAAGGGGAGTGGCAATCGGGTCCCGTTAGCTGCGGCGGAATCACGTTGCCTGCATATTTTCATTCATTCGTTTCAGCGTCAACGTCTGCCGACGACTGCAAAGTTATGGAATGCATAACGGGCTGTATGCCGTACGCTGTGTACTGTGTACTCCCCTTATATATTTGCACTTTTGTGTATCTGCCGGATCCAACAGCGCTTGAATGTGCACACTTCTTGTTGCTCTGTTGGCTCACCCTTCAAGTATTTACGCCTTTATTTATTTAACATTTCAATTGCATATTTTCGCACAAAAGCGCGTGCCAAACCGAAAGGATGATGGCGATGGCGATCCCCTAGCTGTGCAATGTCAATGCCCACCGACCTCAAAGGGTTAACTCGAATGCTTGTGGGGGCTTAGCTCGCTTAAATTTCCGGAGGTCCTGCACGTTTCCATGGGCGTGACCCATGCTAAATTGTCCCGAGTCAGTGTCATTGCTCTGTGCTTAAAAATTATCAAGAGCAACTTCAGCCGCCCTGTAAATGAGATGCAAATATTAACAAACAAAAAAAAATTTGAACGTCAAATTTAAGCATATTTATTTTGACGTAAAAACTAAATTATGAATGTAAAAACAGTACAATTTTATAAGAAAGAGTTAGTTCGTTTTGAGTAAATTAAATATAACGTTGGATTGCATCCGGAAATTTCAAAATTTTATTCAAAGTTTGTATTATTTTGGGGCTGTTTTAAAACTATACATATATTGTATTTTACATTTTCAATTTATTTGATATCCAATATTAACACAAATATCTCATGTTAAGAGGTATACGAAACTTTTGAAATTGCAATCAAAGTTATTACAGATTAATTTGCGCTTATAAAATTAAATTGCAGTTAAATATTTCTTAATTTATTATATTAAGCTAGAAAATTCTTTTTTGCTCGATTACGAAACACCCTTTACTAGTAACTGTCATAAAAATGCGATTGCAACTGACAGATTGATGGTCCTATCGAACATCATACCTTACGCCAAAATTGTGTATACAACACTTTCATTTTTTTTTAAGCAGGCATCCCCAATTCGCCATCATGATTTTCATCATGAGCGAAGATGCTGTTTCCATAGATTTCCTCCGGCGCCCAACAGTATGCAACACAAAAGAGAGATTTTTCTCAAGTGCTCCCGCTTTTAGTTTCGTTTTTGGGGCTCTTTTGGGCTGTTTTCCACTGCTTCTGCTGGTGACATCAATTGTTATTGTTGGGCAAACAATGGCAAACATTTGCCAAAACACATTTGCCTGTGCCGCCAGCGAATATCTATGCGTACGTCTGCACGTCACTCGAGATAAAGTCGGATTGGGAGCTGGAG